ATGGCAGTTCTATTTTTAATTTTTTAAGGCACCTCCATACTGTTTTTCATAAAGTCTACACTAATTTACATTCCCACTAACAGTGTATTAGGGCTCCACATCCATGCCAGCATTTGTTAATTTTTGTCCTTTTGATAAGAATCATTCTAACAGGTGCGGCATGATTATCTCATTGTAGTTTTAATTTGCGTTTCCTTGATAATTAACAATGATGACCATGTCTTCTTTTCAGACGTGTCTTCTTTCATCCATTTTTAATTGGATTTTCTAAAATTGGGTTGTTTGAGTTGCTTATACATTTTGGATATTAACCTCTCATGAGATGTGTAGTTTGAAAATATTTTCTTCCATTTTGCGGGTTCTTTCTTCACTCTATTGATTGTTTCCTTTGCTGTCCAGAGGTTTTTAGTTTGATGTAATCCCATCTGTAAATTTTTGCTTTTGTTGTCTGTGATTTTGAGGTCTTATCCAAGAAACTCTCGCCCAGACTATGTTTTCTTATAGTATTTTTGTAGTTTGGGTTCTACATTGAGGTCTTTAGCTCATTTTGAGTTGATTTTTGTCCATGGTGAAATACAGGAGTTCAGTTTCATTCTTCTATATGTGGATAACCAGTTTCCCAACCACCATTCATTGAAGAGACTCTTTTCCCCCCAAGATTCTTGGCACCTTTATCAAAATTCAGTTGGCTGTAAGTTTGTGTATTTATTTATGTGGTATCTATTCTTTTCCAATAGTCCATGTGTCTAATTTTATGACAATACTATGCTATTTTGAGTACTATAAACTTAGGGTTTACTTTAAATCAGATAGTGTGATGCCCTCTGCAAAATTAAGTGCAGGTGGCAAGTGAGCACATAGAGGGAGGCTCAGCATCACTGATCACTAAAGAGATGGGAATCAGAGCCCCAAGTGTGATGCAACTTCAGACACATTAGAATGGCTATAATTAAAAATAATAAAAACAGAACATAACAGACATTGGTGAAGAGGTGAAGAAATTGAGGCCTACCTGTATTGCTGTTGGCAATGAAGAATGCCGCAGCCACTGTGCAGAGGCTCGGTAGTACCTCAAGAAAAGTTGAATACAGAATTGCCATATGGCCTAGAAGTTCTACTACTGGGTGTACACCCCAAAGAGTTGAAAACAAATATTCAAACAAGTACAAAAATGTTCATAGCAGCACTGTTCACAGCAGGTAGAGGTAATTCAAATATCCATCAACAGATAAATGACTAACAGAGTGTGATATATCCATACAATGGAATATTATTCAGCTACAAAAGGTTATAAAAAATACGGATGCATGCTACACTGTGGAGGAACTTTGGAGATGTTGTGTTAGGTGGGACAGGCCAGATGCAGGGGCTCACATTTGTATGATTCCATTTATATAATATATCCAGATGGATCTACAGAGGTAGAAAGTGTATTAATGGTGTCCAGGCCTGAAGTGTTGGCAAATGAGGAGTGACCACTTAATTGATATGGGAGTCTCTTTGGGGAGTGATAAAAATAATTTGGAACTAGAAAGAAGTGATGGTTATACAACATTGTCAATGTACTAAATATCACTGAATTGTTTGCTTTAAAATGGTTAATTTTATGTTATATGGCTTTCACTTGAACATAAAAAAATGAATCTCTTAATAATCATATTTAGTATATAATTTTATACAAACATTCACAAAGGTTAGTAAGAAAAATATTAATAAATGAAATTATTCTAATATACATAACATCTATCCTAGAAAACAATAAACAGAAGAAACATAGTGTGATTTAACATATGTATAAATATGTTTCCTGATTATCTCAGTGCTTCAAGAAAGAGTTACTTAGCTGGACAAACCACTTTTATTCCCATTGCAAAATTAGTCTTTAAATTATTATCATGTCTCTTATTACAGATTAACTATAGAATATTTTAAAAATAAGGTAAGCAAACTTTCAAAAAAAAAAGATTACTATCAGGAAAATACATGAAAAATTCACAATCAAACCCAGAATACTCTAGGACTATAATTATGTTTAAATCTTTAGTACAAAGGCTAAAAGTCAAATCTTTAGTCAAATCTTTAGTACAAAGGCTAAAAGTCAAAATGGTCAAGAAGAAAAATAGCTACCATTAGTGGTTAAGAAATATATACTATATACAGATAAAAATTAAGGCAACAAAAATATAAAGTGGGGGGGGGAAAGACTAGCATATTTTCACATAGCTAAAGCTAAGTGGTTATGAGCTTAAAATCACCTTTCTTAACCATAAGACTCTATGTTAGCCCATGGTAACCACAAAGAAATAAATTACAGCAGATACACAACGGAGAAAGAAAAAGGAATCACAGCTTAGCACCACAGAAAACCACAGAATCACAAAGTAAACAATTAGAGAGGAAGAAAAGACCAAAGTATCTGCAAAACAACCAGAAAATGGTAACAGAATGGCAGAAGTAAATGTTCACCTATCAATAATAACCTTGAATGTGAATGGATTCAGTTCTCCATTCAAAAGATATAAGAGTGGCTGATGGATTTAAAAAACAAGGGCAAGGCTCACTGGCTCTTGCCTAGCCTGTAATACTAGCACTTTGGGAGGCTGAGGGGAGTGGATTAGGAGTTCCAGCTCAGCCTGAGCAAGAGGAAGGCCCTGTCTCTAAAAATAGCCAGGCATTATGGCAGGTGCTTATAGTCCTAGCTACTTGGGAGGCTAAGATAAGAGGATCACTTGAGCTCAGAAATTTGAGGTTGCAATGAGCTATGAAGCCACACACTCTACTGAGAGGGACTAAGTGAGACTATGTCTCAAAACACACAAACAAACAAACAAGACCCAAATATATGCTGCCTGTAAGAGAATCACTTCACCTGTAAGGATATACCAAGACTGAAAGTGAAGGCATGGAAAATGATATTCCATGCAAATATACACCAAAAGAGAACAAGGCTCATGCCAGATAAAAATCGTAAAAAAAGACAAACAGAGTCATTATAAAATGATAAATGGTTCAGTTCAGCAAGCGGATACAACAATAGCAAACACAGTCATCTCTCTGTATCCATGGGTTTCACATCTGTGGATTCAAGTCCTGAGGAAAATGCAAATAAAAAATCACAATGGGATACCACTGCACATTCACCATAATGGCTAAAATTAAAAAGGCTGAAAATATCAAGTGTTGACAATGATGAGGAGCAAGGGGGACTCTTGTATGTTTCTACTGGGAAAGTAAAATGATGCAAACACACTGGAAAATAGTTTACAGGTTCCTTATAAAAGAAAACATGTACCATGGGACCCAGCAAACAGACTTCTGGGTATTTACTAAAACAAATGAAAAGACATATCCACATAGAGACATGCACACAAATGTTCACGGCAGCTTTACTCATAATAGCCAAAAATTATAAACACATCAGGTGTCCATTAAGTGAATGAATAAACTGTATATCTGTACAATAAAATACTACCTAAAAACAAAAAGAATAAGCTACTTATACACAAAAAAAATGGATTAATATCAAAAACATGCTGAGCAAAAAGAAGCCAAATATTAAAGAGTGCATTATACAGACAATTCTAGAATAAACAAAACTAATTTATAGTGATGGAAAGCATGTTCTTGGGTGCCTGGGGCCAAGTGAATGATGAGGAAAAGAAAGCAACTTCTTGGAGGTGATGGAAATGTCCGGGATAAGGATCAGATAGTGTGTAAGAGGTGTATGTATCTGTTAAAACTCATACTACTCTTGACTTATGCTAGGTACATTTTATTGGACACAGTATAACTCAATAAAGTTAATTTTTTAAATGTCAAGGTAAAAATAAAGCCTTAAAAACTATTCCAGATTAAATGAAACTAAAGAAATACCAAAATTAAATGCATTTCATGATCCTGAACTTGAGAAAAAAAAATCTATAAAGGGCATTGTTGGGGCAATTGGCAAAATTTAAACATGAATTATAGATTAGATCGTAGTACTGTGTCTGCTAAATTCTTGATTTTGAAAATTGTGGTATAGTTATATAAGAAAAAGTCCTTGTTCTTGGAAAATATCCAGACAAAGAGATATGAAGTCCTCAATTTATTATCAAATACTTCAGCAAGGGGGAGAGGGGGAGAGAGAGAAAGGGAAAGAGAGAGAAACTATAAAACTGATAGAGCAAAATTTAAACAACTGGTAACTAAGGGTAAATATTATAAGGGGTCCTTTATATCCTTCTGGCAACTTCCAGTAATTTTGAAATTATATTTTATAGCAAAATAATTTTTTTAAAAAGATGAGGTAAGCTTCTAAGTTGGGTGTAGTGTCTCTTGCCTGCAGCCTAGAACTCTAGGGGACCAATCAGGGGTTCAAGACTAGCCTCAGCAAGAGCAACACATCACACTCCCCACCTTCGTCTCTTTAAAAAGAAAATAGAAAAATTAGATGGGCATAGTGTCATCCACCTGTAGTTCTAGCTACTCTGGAGGCTGAGGGAGGAGGATTGCTTTGGTGTTTGAGGTTATAGCGAGCTATGATGACACCACTGTACTCTAGCCAGGATGATAGAGCAAGACTCTGCCTCATAAAAAGAAAAGAAGAAGAAGCAAGCTCATAGATGAGAAGAAAAAAACCCTATATTCTAGCTTTTAATTGTGCTATCTATCAAAGGCAGAAGATACTGAGATGATTTATCCTATTGATAAAGAAAAGGTTATTTATTAGAGTTCTCTAATTGGTTCTATGGGTGACTCAGGGAAACAGAAGGAGTGAATAACTCCTCAGGGCTATTAAAGAAACAGGCAACTGTTCTCCAGAGACAAAATCTTCCCCTTTCAAGGAAGAACGACGTCTGATTTCTTAATCATAGCTCAAAAGAGCATTTTCTTTCTCCTTCAGCTCATCTTCATCTATTTCAACCATACACTAAGTTCTGCAGGCAAAAACATTGATTTGAAAGTAACCACAAATCATTACAGGAAGCAAACAAACAAAAAAACACAACATTTCATTTTTAGCTTTTCTTCTTAGTACACGTTGAAGCAGAGAAAATAGAGCCAAAGTCAATTCTCTTTTCACAGATGCAAGGGTAAGTTTTAATGCAATCAGCAGTTGCCATTCTTGTGGAAGATAAAAATGTACATTGTCCCTCACCGGAAGGTAAACTCATTATCCAAGAATTACTGTGGAACAGAAAACACACATGGCCAATTGATTAATTCTGAAGCTTACGATTACATAAATCATGTTTTGTTTCTTTTTTTAATTATGTTACCTAAGTATCTGGAATATGGAAATGTTAACCATAACTTCATCATTGAAAGATTTTCTTTTGCTCTTAGTCTATTAAACAGAATCATGGCCTCTTAATCTGATACACAATTTCCCATATTATTCCATACTGATAGTTTTTGGTGAGAAGGTAAAATTACTTTGAAATATTGCAACAGGATTATGATATTCCAAATCTGTTTTCTTAGGTTAATGTTTTTTGATAAAAGTGAGAGATTAAAAAGAATAACTAAATTTCTGTGACACAGATAACCACATCTCATGTACCTATATTTTAAGGAGAAAGAAAGGTAGAATTAGAATATATTCAGAGATGAGGTTGTTTGATGGTTTTATTTCATTTCTCTTCCTACCCAACCTCAGAGTTATCACAAGGCAATCCATGGAAAAATATCTAAAGCAGGATTTCTGCATCAGCAAAACGGCAGAGTAGGTGCCCAAACAAGCTTCCTATTGAACAATTAAAAAGGCTAAATGAAAAAGTATTAAACTATTTAAAATAAATTTAATTCTAAAACTCTCCAAGCTGCCTAGGGCTGCGATCCCAAAGTATAAACCACCCTAGAACTATCTTGAACCTTGGACTTAAGTAGAAGAGAAAAAGAATAATCCCACCTGACAATTCAAACTGACAGAGTATCCCTCAAGTAATTTGCATTTGCTGCTATTACTTAAGAATATTCAGATCTGCTATAGGAAAAAAAGAAAAAAATTAAGGAAGAAATGAAACCGAGTAGCTTGCAAGGCAACAGCAGAACACATAAAATGTGATAGATGTGGATAAGTAAATTAGGAACCTAGGAGACATGTCAGGTAGAGATGCAGTAAGTAGAACAGGCATGTGCTAAGCACAGACAAAAGAGGAAGAAAGGACGAAGCAGACACTAAATATACACAAAATATACACGAGCACATACGCACTCAACATCATGAGGTTTGCACTTCATTCCTCATTGGTAACACCCATCTGGCCCTTGCCCCCAAAAGAGCAGATTAAATTCATAGCTTCTCATCAGGTTAATAAGAAAGCCGCACGCTGCAACCAAGCTCACGTGCTTCCGCATCTCCCCATTAGAGGAAATGTGTGGGCTAGAAACAGAAACTTTCTGTCTGTTGGGCCTTCTTACTCACACCTCAGGTCTGGCCCAGAAACCACAACCACATCACCAGGCAAGGGTTTTGTAGCAGAGAGAGGCCATTTGGAGATGGCAGAGCCCAGAATTCAGGTGATCCTTTCATTCTCTTGTAAGCTTATCTCAAGTACAACAACCTAGCCTACCACTGTCCTTCCACATGCCATGGGGTACTGTAAAAAGGCCACAGCATCAACAATGTGGTATTTAATGCAAAACTATAAAACTAAGTGATTTAATTAACTTTGTGATTTGAGCATTTAATTTGGCCTATGAGCCATTCCATTCAATAACCCCTGGTATAGGTTGCCTGGAAACGTGCTTGGAGGGAACAATGATGTCAGTGTAATTTCCTACATGACATCTTAAGTTTGAAGCCTGAAACACAATACTAGCAAGGCTTAAATTTAGAATTAAAAGTGGCCCAGACTCATAACGTTCCAAGGCATTCAACAAAAGCAATTCTTTCCTGAGGAAGCCACCACCTTCATCTCAAGCCTCAGATAGTATCAGCAGGAGCTCAGAAAGAAAAATAAATCACTAAACACTACAAAGAAAATGGCATCATGAGCAAGAGTCAGCAGAAATGAAAGATTCCACCCCCAAAATTTCAAATACTAGAATTGTCAGATGTCTTGTGTAAAATAAGTATGTTTAATGTCTTTCAAGAAATAAAAGACAGCTTGGAAATATGAGTAACTAGCAAGAGTATTTGAAAACACAAAATAAAATTCCTAGAAATTAAAAAAATGAAGACTTATTTAAAAATTTAATAACCATTTAGCAGCAGATTAGTACTAAATGTAAACCCAAAAGTTAACATAATGATGCACTTTAAAATAGAACAATAGAAAATAGGTGTGCATATACATTTAGGAATAATATATAAAAATGTGTACATGTATAAACAAATTATATAAAGGAGTTTTCAGTGAATTTTCGCAATGCTCAGGTTACCAATTTCTGGTTGTGGGAGGGATCCTTATAGCTAAGTCAGGATGATTCAATCACTTCGTATCATTTTGCTTTATGATTTTGTTTCATTTTTGTGTAGCTCGTAACACATACTTCTGGGCATTTATATAACATCCTACTCTTTTTATTATTAATAACTCTCTATAACACTTCTCTTTCTTCTTTTTAGCTATACTTCCTGAAAATATAGCTAAATGAGGACTTTCTTACTTATCCCTCTTATTCTTACCAGTGACCACTACTTGAAATGAATCAAGCTGTGTGAAATGAGAAAGACCCATTTCAGACACAATCCTTTCACCCTCTACTCCAAGTTAGGGTTTGAATGCACTCCAGAAACTTACATTCCAGAATAAGACAAGCCATTATCAATCCATTTCCATTTCCTTTCTCTGTGATCATACGATAATCCAATCCAGTAATAATTTTTGTGAGTCTGGGATTGAATGAAGGCCTAGGAAGGAAACAAAACATATCATGTGACTAAACTCCCACTTGGTAGCAGAGTGCAGAGAAGGGCAGGCTGAAGGATCAGCTGTTTCTGTGGCCAGTACGCTGCAACTCTCAACATCACCCTTCATTCCTACTTCCTCGAGAAACCTCTCTCCCCTCAATCCCTGCATTTTCATTTTCCAAAGTAATTTCCTCCTAATACATTACTTATATATGTTAAAAATGACTGATGCTTTCATAGATTATTTAAAGCAGGGAAAATTTAAAATCTAAATATCTAGCAAGGGGGGGGAAGAAAAGAAAAGAAAAAAAAGAAAATAAATATCTAGCAATAGGATACTTTTAAATTAATTTATGATGCTTTCTGAAACTATTCAAAATCATACTCCCAAAGTAGATATAAGATTTGGAAAATTGATTATCACCCAATTGTAAGTGCAAGATTAAAAATCTTTAAAACAACTTTATTAAAATAAGAAATGTTTGGTTGAGGGCAATCAATGCCTTAAAAGTTTTAGCCTCTTGCTGTAATTCAATGGTTAGAAGGAGTGAAGGGACAGGAGATTGTATATGGAAGAATTTACCATATTTAAAATGTAATGTATCAAGTGACATATTACAAAATGATCAAATAACTGAATATTATTTTAAAATGTAGGTTTAAATTTAACTATGCTTTACTGTTTAAACAAACAATTATTTCATGACTTGATACCATAAATTATTTTTGCTGTGATTTTAAACATTAATTAGATTTGGATATAAATTTTATGTTGTTTTCCTAAAAGATAAGCAGAGGTTACAGGTTAATCTTTCTAAACATATCTGTATAAAATATATGAAATGTAAAATTATATATTTTGTGTATCTGGATAAATTTTCTTAGAAATAAATTTTTGAAAATTCAACATTATCACTATATTTTTCTTTTGGTATTATCTTAAGAAGACACATCTTTAAAATACTATACAAGAATGTTGATCAAGTATTTGTTACCTACAGATGCAATAAAAACACTATGAGGTTAATTTATAAAACTTGCCACTTTTATGTTCCTCATTATTATATCCATTTTGCACATTGGCCCAGAGAGGGTAAGTAATATACTGACAATCACCCAGATAATAAGTGGTAGCAGTGGATTTGATCCCAGGCAGTCTGACTCCTGGGTTCCCAAAGTAACTGCTAGACTATGCTATGTCCCAATTCTTAGTTGTCACCTTGTAAGGATAAATAACTGTTAGTTGCAAAGTGCAATTTACCAAAGGTTAAGTACTTCATAGAAGGATAGGCATACTTGTCTGTGAGTGATTCTTCTGTAGACTCTTTGGAAAGGGAGATGACTGCAAAAACCCAAACTGCCTCCTTAATAATAATGGTCATCCTACTAAAATATGTACTGGCTACTTAGTCAGCAGCAGGATCACATGTCTACTAGCAGCCAGGGGTCTCCTGTGAGACTCCTCTAACTGTACAATTTTGCTCACCCAACAGATACTAACCAAACAATAGGTAAAGTTCTCTCTTTCTGGATTCCTGCCTATCCTCAATATCTTAGGTTCAAGGGTGAAAGAGTCCAAGAGAATAAAAATGAATGTAAGAGTCCATGATACCAGTTCAAGTTCATCATTTATCTTCAAAAGGAATGATCCGTGACTTTGGCAAGTCTGTTTACATCCGTTCCAGTCTTTATTTTCCATGGTAAAATAATAACAGTTCAATCCATAACAGCATATGGCTAGAACATACAAAGTGAATCATGATACTTCTTGTCATCTGAATTTGGTTAACCAGAGCAATATAGTCATCAATTATACTTATCACAGTATAATTGAGGCTCATCCAGGTTCTGGAATACCAACAGATACATGCGCTCCCATGTTTAATGCAGCTTTGTTCATAATAGCCAAGATCTAGAAACAACCTAAATGTCCACAGATGGATGAACATTAAAAAAATGTGGGGGCGGCACCTGTGGCTCAGTGGGTAGGGCACCAGCCCCACATGCCGAGGGTGACAGGTTTGGACCCGGACCCAGCCAAACTGCAACAACAACAAAAAGCCAGGCATTGTGGCGGGCACCTGTAGTTCCAGCTACTTGGGAAGCTGAGGCAAGAGAATCACCTAAACTCAGGAGTTGGAAGTTGCTGTGAGCAGTATGATGCCACGGTACTCTACCAAAGACGATAAAGTGAGACTCTGTCTCTACAAATAAAAAAAAGTGGTATATACATACAAAAGTGGCATATTATTTCACCTTTTAAAATCCTGCCAAATCCAACAACATGGATAATCCTTGAAGATGTTACACTAAATGAAATAAGCAATCACAGAAGGACACATACTTCATGATTCCACTTATATGAGGTATAAATCACACTCATAAACGTGGAGAATAGAATTATGGTTGCCACCTAGGGCTGGAGGGAGGTGAAGCGTTGTTCCTCCGGAAGTATAAAGCTTCAGTTATGAGAATGAGTAAGTTCTAGAGATCTGCTGTACAGTGTGGTGCCAATAGTTAACAATACTGTACACGTAAAAAATTGTTAAGAGAGAAGATGTCATGTTAAGTGCTCTTACAAATAAATAAATAAATAATCAACATGAGGAAACTTTTGAGATAATGGAAATGTCTGTGACCCTGAGTGTGGTGATGAGTTCATGGGTAGACACATATGTTAAAATTCATCCAATTGACTGCATTAAATATGTGCAGTTCTTTTTGGTATATCAATAATACTTCAATAAAACTGTCTAAAAAATAATAAAATTCAACTTTAAAAAATTATGGGCTTGGCGCCTGTAGCTCAGTGGTTAGGGCGATGGCCACATACATCGGAGCTGGCGGGTTTGAACCTGGCCCAGCCCTGCTAAACAACAATGACAACTGCAACAAAAAATAGCTGGGTATTGTGATGGGTGCCTGTAGACCCAGGTACTTGGCAGACACAAGAGAATCTGTTAAGCCCAAGAGTTTGAGGTTGCTGTGAGCTGTGATTTCACAGCACCCTACCGAGGGTGACATAGTGAGTGTCTCAAAAAAAAAAAAATATATATATATATATATATTTTTTTTTTTTTGTGGAATATCTTCTAAGTAATAGAAACATTATTTTTTGCAACTTTTCCTTTAATATATTTGTACTTAATATTGCACCTTACTTTTAAAAATATCATTGATCCTTTAAGAATAGAGACAGTAAATTTTTATCATACTCAAATGAGATTAAATACCCAAAAGCCTTTTGTGAATTCTAAATCCTAAACAAATATTCACTAGTTGCTGATTAACTAGGTCAATTTATTCTGTCATTATGCAAGATAAGAGAACCCACTGTATTTTTCAAGGCATCCTCAGAGTTGTACAAACACCATCCTACTGCAGATACATTGGTCACAGAGAAGCCAAATGTCTGAAGTAAGGCAGAATGAAAACATACACGCACAATTTTCTTTTCTTTCTTTTTTTTTCTTTGCAGTTTTTGGCCGGAGCTAGGTTTGAACCTGCCACCTCTGGCATAAAGGGATGGCGCCTTACTCCTTTGAGCCACAGGCATCGCCCTTGCACAATTTTCTTTATCACAGCATCCAACTAAATGCTCTTTTACCCCTTTTAACCTAAATACACTCTGACAGAACGCCTGCATTCCACATTCTGTGTCAGTAAAAAGAGGGAGTCTTTCATTTGCCACAGGACCAAAATAACCTGAATGTCCAGACCTGACAGGTTATTTTACATTCTTAGAGCGGTAAGAATGTTACGAACTGCCACTGAGTTTGGGAAACTTCAGGATTCCATTAATCCAAACATGGTCCCAATCCCACATGAAATAAGCAACCCAAACACCTACATTAAATCCAAAGGCATAAATGAAAAGTTGTGCCCCAGATCCCACACATCACTACCACAAATCATAAACCGGTTTATTAGGCTTCAAAGCTTCAGATAGAAAAGAAATAAAGAAAAATCATGCAACGTTTCATTCAAGATTTCCTCCATACCTGTATTTTGCAAAGATTTTGAAGAGACCTCTTTTTTGTTAAAACATCTGTTGTTTTTTATTAAAAATGAGGCCAGTTTCTTGTTCTGCTGAAGACTTTTATTTTTTAAAATCTCATATTCTAAAGTCTTATTTGTCAAAAGCTGCTCCTTTAAGTATTTGTCATTTTGCATAATGTGGTACTTTTGACTAAGGTTTCTTAGAATTTCCTGCTGATGAAGTTTCTCTGGAATGCCCTGAAAAACTAAAATCAGTAACATAGATATAATACAGAAAAATACTCATAACCATCAAATATCAAAATCTATGACAAGAGAAAAAAATCTCACTTTGGCAACCAACCCATGTCAGTACTTTAATTAGTAATTTGACATTTCAAAAGTAACGCCACAATGAACTGACCATAGATATGGAAACATAAATTTCTCACTACTAGCAAGTTAATTGTAAGATAAATAAAATAAGATATCTGAAGAAAATTTTGATGGCAACACCTATCTTTCAGTTTAGATCATTTTTAATAACACATCAGTTAAAAATAAGAACCAACATGAAACTCAGTCAACATTTAATGACATACCTTTTGTGTATGAAAATCTGAACTAAGAAGCATGAAGAGATGGCACAATCATGACTGGAACAGATAGAATATCCATACGAGGAAAGAGTAAAATCTGGATATGTAATTTTATCTGAGTGTAACATATCAGTTATTTTCTAAAACTTGTGAAGAAGTTAAAATAAAAGATGAAGCTTGAATTCAAGATCTAATATCTAGATTCATCCTTTTACTAAACCACTCTTCATTACACACTTCAAAAAAAGTCAATAGGAAGTCTTAATTCCATCTGAACAGCTGTTTCTCAATAGATGTTTATCTTAGATTGATGATGATCTAAACTCAGATGGCAGAATATGTGCATATTATTAAACCATCTATCAGAGGAAGTATTACCATGGATTAATATCATACAGAACGAGACAGCTCATCACACTTTCAGAGTCAAGGTTAAGTAAAATGAAAATGACAATGTGATAGGACCAGAAAGAAAATCACCAACCAGTCCAGAGCCATGTGGGACATTCTGTCTGATTACAGACAGAAAACTATGAAGGGAGCAGAGTTAATATCTGCACAATTAGCAGTTCTTGCTATTACTCAGACAAGAAAGATGTATTTCAATTACTCACTCTTTGTCACTAGCACTGCAACTGTCATCAACAAAAGTAAACAGAGGATCCCAAGAGTCACTGCAATGAGACGCCAGGACACTGAAAGGGAGAAAATTGTTATCAGTGAAAAGCCTGGTTCACTATTAATCTTGACCTAGAACATCAAATGAAACAACAGGACACTCTGCTCTCAAAATGTGACAAAATATATTATGCATTGATTTAAATTTGTAACCTAAGCCAGGTACATTGTCTCACACTTTTAATCTTAGCACTCTGGGAGGCTGATGCAGGAGAATTGCTTGAGCTCAGAAGTTCAAGACAAACCTGAGTAAGAATGAGACCCATCTGTACAAAAAATAGAAAAATTATCAGGGTGTGGTGATGCGTACCTATAGTCCCAGCAACTCCGGGGCTGAGATAGGAAGATTGCTTAAGCTTAGAAGTTTGAGACTGCTGTGAGCTAGGCCGAGGCCATGGCACTCTAGCCAAAGGAAGAAAGGGAGACAGTCTTCAAAAAACAAAAATTATAACCTACAGCTCCAGGTATGGTGGGTCACTCCTATAATCCCACCACTTTGGAAGGCTGAAGTGGAAGGCTGAAGTGGGAGTTTGAGGCCAGGAGTTCAAGACCAGCCTAAGAAAGAACAAGACCCCATCTGTACAAAAAATAGAAAAAGTAGCCACCTATGGTGGTATATACCTATAGTCCCAGCTACATGGGAGGCTGAGACAGCAGGATCACTTGAATCCAGGAATTTTTGTTTGCAGTGAGCTGTGATAATGCTACTGCACTCCAGCCTGAGCAAAAGAGCAAGAGCCTGTCTCAAAAGTAAATAAATAAATAAATAAACAAAATTTCACTTAGCCAAAAGGCTGAGAAGCAATTAGTAAATAAAATTTGTAACCCATAAATTACAGTTTTAAAATTTCAGATGTCTGGCTCTCATGCACACACCCACTCACACGTACCCATTGTAGACATCCTAATATGGCAACAGTTCTATAGGATTTAAAAAGAACATCCTTTACAAGAGCATTGATAGCAATAGACACAACACATTCAAGAGAATCTCAAATGATATATGTGTTCCTTACTGTGGCCACAAGTAATCATGAAGAAGAAGAAAAATCAGTCAATATTCTTGAGAAATTGGTACCCGATAATGGATATTCCGGAGCTGCAAATGTGATTGGGGTCTATCTTTTTTCTTTTTGTGTGTGTATGTGTGTGACAGAGTCTCTCTCCATCACCCTAGGTAGAGTATAATGGCATCAGTCTAACTCACAGCAACCTCGAAATCTTGGACTCAAACAATCCTCTTGCCTCAGCCTCCCAAGTAGCTGTGATTATAGGCGCCTGCCACAACACCCAGCTAGTTTTTTTCTACTTTTAGTAGAGACGGGGTTTTACTCTTGCTCATGCTGTTGTCGAATTCCTGAGCTCAAGCAATCCACCCTTCTCAGTTTCCCAAAGTGTTAGGATTACAGGTGTAAGCTACCATACCAGGCTTGGTCTATCCTTAAAAGAGTTTCTAGGAATCAACTTTGCTTCATTTTTCATCAGTTCTATTCTTCTCTAGACATACAACAGTTACCCTTTTGCTTTTGAGGTCCTCAGTATCTGAAAGTTGTAGCTCTTATTATTATATCATTACATTGAAGCAGTAAATGATTATTCTCAATTTAGAGTTTAACTGAGACAGTATTATAAGGGAGAGAGAGAGAAGAAGGATAGAAAAATTAGAACATCCCTTTTAACTAGAATATTTTTGCTGCTTCATTGCCACTAAGGTTTACCAAATATTTAAGACACCTATAATATCTTTTTGTCTGAATAAAAAGATTGTTTTTAACACATATTTTTTCATTTCTTAAACATCCCCTAAGATTTTTATTTCTCAAAGAAACGTTATGTTTCTTTCCAGACTCTATGCTGTTCTTTACTTTTAAAGGTCTCACAAATCCTTCTTGACCAGATACGAATAAAAGTATTTTATCAGCATCTTAAATTTAAAAGAATTCATTAATTTATCCACACAACATTTTTGTCTTTAAGAAAAAGGACACATGTTCTACTGTCATTACCCGTTATAGTTTTTATTACCAGATAGGAACCAGAGTACAGACAAAAATGGTTCTCAAACATCAACACTTTGGCGATGCATGAGGCAGGCGAATTTAGATGATTAAAACACACACCTTTGTCCTCCGTTTTCCCAGGTCTCTGAGTGACCCCTGGCCTTAGTCTACTCTGTGACTCTGAAGGAGGCTGCAGAAATCTCAGGGTTGAATAAATCACTCTCTGATCACTCATCTTTAGAGTAAGAAGACAAAGGTATTTTGCACTACAACCTTGTAACAGGAGGATGAATTCTGTCTGAAGAAAAATTAAAATGTCGGTCAATTAGAACATATTAAGATTTGATGCTGAGAGGTGCGTGTTTTCTAACTCCTTTAGGGCCTAAAGCAAGACTGAGACTGATTTTTTATAAGAAATGGAAAACCTTTCAACATTTATGTTAAAGTTATATAAAGTCATTTATATAAAATTACATTAGAAAATACAGAAAAAAATTAAAAATCGATCAATAAATTATTTCATACACACACAGCCAATTTTGCTTAAAATGTTCAACATACATATAAAACTGTTGTATGTATATATAAAAAAATAAATACAATAAAAATTGGTACTTCTTCAAATCATTGAAATACTTTTAAGCTACAAATTAAAAAACCAGAAGTCCTACCTACATTCTAAAAACAATAATTGTCTAGGTTTGAAAATGACTCATACATGTTCTGTTCTGATACACATGTAAGTATTTAAAAGTTTTTGCATTGTTTTCAAGTATATATGAATCTACCAGAGTGTTTCCCAAAGTACATCCCATACCATCCACAAAAGAATTATTTGAGGGTTAATTTTGCAGATTGGTTAACAATCCAGATTCCAGTGGCCTGTTTAAGATGTGCTAAATAAAAATCTCTTAGGTTAGAGTCCAGATACCTGTATTTTAAAGCCCAAATGGTTCCATGTACATCAGAACTTTAGAAATACTCTTCCAGCATACGATGTTGCCAAAGAAGCCTATGTGAAAATAAAATTTGCCACTAGGTAGTCATTAGTTAGTGTTCATAATAGATTTAATCCATTAGTGGATACATGAGTCGTTATGAAACTTCTGAGATACACAAAAGTCAAGAAGCATAACGAAGCTCTCCCAGCAACCCGACAAACTGAGCAAGTTGAAACTTGCATGGGGGGCTACGAAAGGACGGTGTCTACAGTGTTGCTTGATGTGAAATAATGGATCATGACAAGGTCTGTCACAAACCTTTTGTAGTGTCCCACGTACCAACATAGAAAAAAATTACTAAGTAGTAAACATTTAAAACATGCCTCTTATCTTCTCTAAATCAGTATGAAAAGACATTCACAAAACAAGAAATGTAGAAAACAAACTGCCCATGTAACTATATTCTTTTCTAAATTTTTTAATTGCAAAATGTCCTAAATTCATTTACATTTTCACAAATATCCTAAGAGTTTTTCTATTATAGAATCAATCCTTCAAAACGGATAATATGTAAAACTTTAGACCCAAGTAAAAAGTAATTACCTCACCAAATCTCTTTCTTATCTTGATAACACAAAGCAAAAATCATAGAGTTTTGAGAACGAAAATAACTTTATGTGAATGTTGAACAACAAATTTCACATCCTTTAGAGTTAATACAGTTCTAACTCAATCAGTAGAGAAGATTTCCTATCAATCCCATTCTCATGCCAAGACATTTATAGTTAAATGCCTTTCTCCTAGAATAAGTAGGACTAATAACATAATCAAGAAAAAAGATCTGAAGGAATAAAGGCAGACAATACCTGTATAGTACCATGGAGAAATGCAGAAGGAAAAAAACTGACGCTAAAATGAGGAAGAAGTTGGCCTTTCCAGTCCTGGATCCCTTAAAGGCTGTAAAATGAAAAGCAGAAATAGTCTCTGAATGATACTCCAACTCAAAATTTTCTGCCCCTCCTCTTGACCACAGTGATAAAAGGAAATTGTATGATGATACCTGATGTTGACGGTAAAGGAAAAACGTCATGCACTACATTTCTCCATTTCAATTCAGCAACCACTTAGTCCTTTTTGCAAAATAACATTCCCCAAATAGATGTTTGAGGACTGAAAAGATAAAGAAAGACAACTTTGAAGAAAATAAGACCAGTGTCTTTAACAACAACAACAACAATATATATATATATATATATACTTGAGAGAAACCATTAGTAAAATGAAGTAACCGAAACATCTATGCATAAATAAATATACAGGGAATATATATATAGTGGGAAGTATCATGACTAAATTCTTCAGCTCTTAGTTTAAATAATAGCCTATCAGTTTGAAATGCTCTGTTATATTTTACTATTTGAAAAAGTTAGTCCTTTTTTCTACGTGTGTCCATTACAAGTAGGTATACTTTAGAAATGACTTTAAAACATCCATAATTCTACTATAAAAGTGGGTTGCTAGTATAAAAAGTATTTAGCCCGTACTTCCGAATATTTTCTTTGGAAAACTTTTTAAACATGAAATTATGGGGTCAAAGGGCATAGACGGCGGGACAATGAGAGAGGTAGTGAAGAGAAGGGGAAATGGCTTTCACAGAGACAACCTCCACCTGTTCCTCTAAATCCCGTGCTTATTCTTCCTATACTGATCTCCAGCCTTCTCCAGAGGGCCTCCCTCTTCAGTTCATTCATGCCTCCTACTTTTCCTCCACCTGCATGTTCTGGCCTCTAAGGGCTGGTCCCGTGATACTGCCTGTTGTTTGAGATTCATCTGTCCTACTTCAGCCTCCTGACACAATCCACAATCTGAATCACCACTGAGTCTGCCACCTGCCATCACAGGCTGTCAGCTGACACGTCTCTCAGAGACAGATTTAACTCAATCATGTGAGCAAAGTTCCATGAGCCTCCAGAGTCTGGACACGTTAGGAATACCTGATCCTTGCTGTTGGGGATTTTTATGTTTCTTTTTCCTCATCCTGGATTGGCTTTGTTAATCCCAATCAGAAAGTGATGGTTTTTTAGCCCTCTAGGCCAGTGCCAAAATAATAAAGGAAGTTAGTTCCGCTGAGAGGAGGCAGAGGGTGGTGGTCGGGGGCAGGAATAGTGGTTGTTGCAAAGGTGGCAGAGAGAGCTGCTATCATTTATTGGAATACCTCCTGTGTAAAAAACCATACTGAAGACTCCCAACAATGGCAGGTATTTATTACCAGGAAGAAACTAATGGGAAGAGGTTCACTGACTTGCCTAAGGATCTTTACTGTTAATTCTTGACCCATGTTTAAAATCAGGCCTTACTGAAGGTGCAGAGTGTGGACAGACTATGAACTCAGCAGGGCCTGGGCTTTCAACAAAACTCCTGCCACAAAGCATGAATTCTGGAACAGGCAGATGTAGCTTGAAACACAAGCCAGCAGGTCCTGCGTGTGACTTCAGGCAAGTCATTTCACTTCTCTACGTCTCAGACTCACCACAGTACAATGGTGATACTGTGTAGATTAAATGAAATGAGATAAATAAAGTCCCTAACCAGCACCTGTTACAGGCTGAGTGTGGTGGCTCACTCTGGGAGGCTGAAGAGGGTGGATCACCTGAGCTCAGGGATTCAGGACCAGCCTGAGCAAGAGGACCCTGTCTCTACTAAAAATAGAAAATGTACATTATAGCCGGGTATTGTGGTGGGCACCTGTAGTCCCAGCTGCTCGAGAGGCTGAAGCAAGAGGATCATTTAAGTCCAGGGGTTGGAGATTGCTGAGAGCTAGGCAGATGCGAAGCCACTCTAGCAGGGGCAACAGAGTGAGTCTCTTCTCCCCGTGCGTCCAAGAAACCTGTTATACAAACAGTAGGCTCCCATTAAATGTTAAATATTATTATTTGAAGTCTAAGACTCAAATCCTTCTGTATGTACAAATTTAAACAAGTCACTGACTCTTCAAGCCTTGGTTTCTTCAGATATTCAATAAGAACATCACCCCCTTCACAGACTTGGAAGAATTAAATGAAGTTAACACTACTGGGTTTCTCAGACTTCAAAGTAAGTCCATGTTTTCTTGGTTGTATATTTCTCCTAAAGTTCAGAAGCACCGGGACTGCAACCCAGAAATCTTGCAGCACAGAGGCTAGGTTCTCCATCCTACCGTGTGAGGCTGAGAGTACAGGTTTGCAAGAATGGGCTGGGGGACGGAACACTGACACAATTTAGGAGCTGGGAAACACGGCAGTGTGTTGCCACTACTCTAGGAAGACCATTCTGTGACCTCAGCTTACTGCCCATGGAGGTAGTGGTGCCATGGAGGCTTTTTTCCTATTTTGATTTACATCCTTACAGCTGCTGAGACAGCAAGCAGTTCTCAGGATGGAAGCTAGACAAGTGCAGGGCACATTCTTTTTGTTTGTTTGTTTGGTTTTGGCCTGGGCTAGGCTTGAATCTACCACCGCTGGTATGTGGGGCTGGCACCCTACTCCTTTGAGCCAGAGACACTGCTCCAGGACATACTCTTTTATGCTTCTCAAATAGTTTGTCTCTTCTATCATAATACAAAGTCCATAAGAGCAAGTAGCGTATCTTGTTCATTATTTTAACTGCAACCCACACAAGCTATTGATATGATGCCTACAAGTGCATCATATCTTGATGAACAAAATGGATAGAGTTAAGAGGGGTTGACTATAAAATCTAGTTTTGAAAAGAGACAGAATGAGACTACTGATTGGAAAGCCAAATTGTGTAGCTGCTCACTCTAAGTTCTATTTTCTTTTTAAGACCCAGTTGTGAATTTCTGGAAAAGGAAAAGTTCTTCAAAGAAGACAATCAGCACCAGAAGATAACTATAACTTCAGATGGAATTGACCAAAACTCCTAAAGGTCCTTTGAACAAAGAAGCAGAGGATTGGAAGTACCACACCCACTGTTAACAATGTTAACAAAAGTTAAGTTTGAAGTTTTGAACGTTCTTGTACTTTGTCTTCCAAATTCACTTTTGTGCAAAACATACACACAGACACATACTAACATATAAATATATATAAATATTCACTCATTTATTTTCTGGTTGCTTTGCTGCAAAAGTCTTTCTTATTTGTGAAATCACACATTTTACCCATTTCTTTCTGACAATTGTGTTAGCTAGAAGCTTAGCACAGGACTTGTAATCACACCTTCTAACCTCAATGGTTTATAATTTTACAGCAGCTGCTGTTCTTCCTGCCCTAGGCTGAAGGAAGAATGACTGGAATCACCCCTAGCACCCTGGGAAGGATGACCTGAGTCACTTTGCTGGGAAGAGTAACCTCACTTGACCAGGTGCCACCTAGTGCCCACATTTTACACCACTGAATGATAGAAAATTTCTTGGCTCTTATACTAAAAGTCAGAACAACCTCTAGTTTGAGATTTCCTGTTCCCCTGATCACTCCATTTATCCTTTTTGTCTCTACAAGAAAAGCTACTCTGATACTCTAGATTTAAAATACTATCTATTGTCCCCACTGGGCCTCCACCTGTCGTCAGTCAAACTGTAACCATCCTTCCACAATTTCTAAGTAACCAAATGAGAAGGCCGCCTCAGGAAGTAAGAAGACAAGCTAAATAATGGCAAAAAAGCGATTTAGACTCCATGCCACTAAAGGATAAAGTCTACTCACACGTTTAAAGTGAAAACAGTTAAGTACTAATAGACTATTAAGGCTTTTGGTTCTTACATCAGTGCCTCCTCCACCTTACCATGTGGTTTAGATTGAGACAACGTAGACACCAGAGCTCCCCAACCCTCGAATCATTCCTTTACCTTTGTTGTTCATCTTTAGTAATTTTTTGTATTTTGTTTTCTAGCTCATTATCTAATGGTAGGAATGGAATCCAATTATAAAAATAATCATATGGATCACAGGTTAAAACTTAGAGCACAACTTATATTCACAGGTCTCACACATTTCAAATCAAAACATCACCTAACAATACAATATACAAAATAATCTGTTACCCTTTATATTCATACTAAAGATATCCACTGAATAGACTCAGCTTTATATCAATGAAATATCAAACGGCCAGACACATGTGATTATCTGAATTTAATCAAAATTAAATACCACTACAAAATATGAGGGCAATAAAGACAAAAGATAACCAATTCAACGAACTCCCCAAACACCTACTATCATGGAAAAGACTGTACTAGGTTGTGGGTAAGAGACACACTATCCCATGAAAGGGGAAAGGAGAGATGAAGAGCAGAACAAGAACTGGGAAAAAAAATATGATCAGGATGAGAGGTCTCTTTATTAAAGGAAGCAAGGAGGAACATGTAATCTGCTGACCTGAGTATAGTGAAAAATCTGCTTTCATATGAAACTAGTGCTGTGCAAAATTTAGTTTCTAATGACATTTATCCATCAGTAACTTACAAATGAGTAAAAGCCAATACAAAGTATAAGAAAATAATGGACAACAGTGTCAAGTATTTTCCTAGTGACCCATTCTCCGATTTTGGTTTGACATAAGAAGTCTTAATAGATATTGAGGATAGAGCAAAATAAGGAAATTAGTATTACAGGGAAGTCAGAGAATGGGCAAAAAGAGGTAATGTTATCTTTTTTTTTGTTTGTTTATTCTAAGGACTACTCCTTAACCTTGCTCAGTCTTAATTGGATCATCTCATTTAGCAAGAGCCACAGAATGAAGGTTCTTTTTGAGGAACAAACCAAAAATGGTATGCCTCCTAGAGGTTCAAAACCAATTGTTCCTTTTCCCCTAGGGTTGACGTGTACTGTGTAAGAGGATTTTCTACTGCACATCAAGGTCACCGACTTGCACAGAAATACTGAATTCCACATGAGACCTAAAGAGGATAGCGTAATCTTGCACAATGAAGTAGAGACCAGTTAGTTGACTTCCCATAGTCAACTGAAGACATTGGCCATGCATTTTTGAGTAGTGAAAAGGAACTTGGCAAATAGGTTATCTAGCCAGCTCTAAAGTTACACTGTCTAACAGGGTGGCCACTAGACACACGTGATTATCTGAATTCAATCAAAATTAATACCACTACAAAAAAAGTAATCTATTGGCAACAATTCCCCAGTTAAGTGAAAAGTCAAAATGAAATAAGTATATAAGAATCTAGATCATGGCTAAGTGAGTAGGGTGCCAGCCCCATATACAGAGGGTGGTGGGTTCAAACCTGGCCCGGCCAAACTGCAACAAGAAAATAGCCGGGCGTTGTGGCGGGCACCTCTAGTCCCAGCTACTCGGGAGGCTAAGGCAGGAAAATCACTAAGCCCAGGAGCTGGAGGTTGCTGT